TTATTTTTTGTTTAAGTTTTCATTAATTGAGGAATCTTATTAATCATGCCTTCCCATTTAATGGATTTTACCCACAGATAGTTATATTGAACTTTTTTCTAGGGTACTAAAAAAATGTATTTAATTTTAACTTCCAGCTCATCAATATATAAATTTACTTAAGAAAAAAAAAATTGCAAAAATTAAATAAAATCTATAAAATCTATGTATAAGTCCAGGTTTGCTCATGATATTCACGTTCCCTATCAGCAACATTAGCTATACTTACCGAAACCTGCCACACCCCCTTTTGCTTGTAACATACATTTTCACACCGTAAACACCGTAATGTTTTGAGTCAGGGTATATTCAAGTCGGTTAGCTGCTCTACCTTCTGCTCCTCCAAAACTTCAGTAACTGCGAGTAACTTAATTTAACAGTTACGAGCAGTTGCTTAGGTCTAGTCGACTAGTTTCAGCTTTCGGGTTTGGTCGAATAATATATTTGAGAAACTACTCAAAATATATTTAGCTAGCAAAACCTAAGCATATTTCCTTAAATCATATAAAGTGTAATATAAAAACATCTTCAAAAAAAGAAAAGTTCTAAGATAAGTGAATAATATTATTCGTAAGTACCATGCACAATCAATTTGTGCCATTCAATATTCTCATTGACTCTTTTCAGATAACATTTGAAATTCCTTGGAAGAACAAGTAATTAGAATGTTACCATGGCAACGTCTACGTCTGCGTCCCAAATATTGGTTCTATTTCCTATACAATGATCCATCGTTCGGAGAGTTCATGAAGTGTAGTGCATTCTTTGTTTTGGGAATATGTGTGCTGAGACGTCTAGGAAAGGGCTTTCCAAATCTGTCGGTCCAGTTTGAAAAGCTTCTGCAGTCCTAAATTAAGTCGTATGCGGAATGGCATTAGGACTACATAAAGTTTATCTTTTTCCCTTAATTTGGCATTGCAAATTGTGTGAAACAATTGAGTATTATATTCGTAAATAAATTTTTTTAATGAAAGCTTTTTACACAGATTACCAAGATGTATTTTTGGAAAGAGAACCGCTTGCATTTGTTGCAAGTAATATGGGATTATTGCTGGGGTTTTTGTTTAACAAATTGAAGAGATCTATTGGAAAGGGTTAAATACTTTGTAGACACATGTGCTCTTGGTAAAGCTAGTTGATAGATGACTAATTATTGTCTAACATTTGCATAATGTGTTGGATTGGCTCTTTATGATTTATATATTTAAAGCTGATTAGTTAGTAAGGAAAACTGGCTGGTAGCACTTTTTTTATTGCTTGAAGAATAGCAAAAAGTAGAGGATGGAGGGTTTGTATTGGGATGTAATAATTAACAAATTAAGTTTATAAAGAATTGGCTTTTCATTTATAAAGTAAAAGAGTATATTTGTTTGTGATATTTCTTTGCCTTCTCCGTCCATTCATCCGACCATCTAGGATAATGTATAATGGAAAGTGGATTGTTGATTGTGCATCGTTTAAGGTATATTTATAATGGATTCATTACGTGAATCCTCTACAGTAAGACATTCAAAACGGATGAAATAACTTACTGCAGCTCTCTTTAATTTATTTGCTAATAGTCTGTATGTAAAAGTATTGTCTTGTCCGTTCATACATCCTTCCGATTGTGGATAGTGAATTTTAGATTGGAGATAATGGATCGTGTATAGTAGATAGAGCATATAAGTGCGCTCATTAAGGGAATATTGTACAGTAAGAAATTAAAAATGGAGTATACAAGTTACTGCAGATCTCTTCAATTTATTTACGCATTATATATAATATGTATATGCAGTGATAAATCGAAAATCAAAATTATATCATTGATAAAGGAATAGTTAAATTACTGCACACCGCTTTATTTTTGAATCGCGAATGTCTATTATGACTTTGGTAGCACCCAGCAGCAACATTTCTGTTTGCTTGACATGCATTATTTGAATTCCATTAGACATAATTTATATGTATAATTTTACTTCTGATGTCAAAGCATATTTCTCAAGAGTCTCCTCCAGCCTGGCTTTTCCTTTCAGTGGCGAGTTAATCAAAGCAAATCAAAAGTCCAGGAGCTTATGGCATTTGCAAGCTTTTTCATTTATGGCATCAGCTAGCTGACGTCTACGCCCATTTTGAGGCTGGGGCGGCTGTCAATTTGAAGTCAGCTAAAACTCATATTAACTTTGGCCATCAGCAAATGCCTGACATAACTGCTACGCCCACTCTCCTGCCCGTCCTTTGTTGGTGCCTTAAAAAAAAAAAAATGTCCACTTCAAGGCGATGTCAGCCAGCTGTCAGCATGTCATATCGAAGGAAAGATATATGTATGTATACACATATGTTTCTTTAAGAGTAGCCTCACGGTTATTAACGGTTAAGTATTATGCTTACAGATTACAATCGGAAAACGCGCATAAGGTTTACGATGCGGCATTAGTTTGAGTCACATATACATACGTACATTAGATATATGAGCGGGGCACATAAAATTAGGTGCCTCCGCCCCCATTTCAGTCAGTCACCTGCTACGGCAGACATAAAAAACCTCCCAGGAGTTGGCTGGATGGCACGCGGCAGCGAGGGGGCGGTAGGAAGGATGCCGGAAAGCAACGTCAACGGCACAGCCAACGGTTCTTGCTATCATAATTTCGAAATGACAGGTAATTTGGGCCACAACAACAGGCGGGTGGGCGTGGACGTGGGCTTTGGCATGCCGGGCAGGAAGACCCGAGATGAAGTGCGAGCGCCAAATGGGAAAATGATGCGAGTTTATTAAGTACCGTTACTCAAAGTGTGTACCGAAAATCCTCACAAGAATTTATGATGCGCAATTTTCCAAAAAAAAAAAAGAAAACGAAAACGAAAACTCACAAATTTATATTGTAAATATATGAAAAGGTGCAGACGTGGTGGGCGCGAGCTATCTGTGCTATCTCTAAATGATATAAGCACACGAACATGCAACTAATGAGTGGAGCTTGTGGAGCTCGAATTGCCCCACCCACACCACCAGCACCTGTCCCATTCAATCAGAGCACTAGCTCTAGCTGCTGCCATAAACTCAATTCAGATGCTCGGCGTTTGTCTTAGCTTTAAATTTCAATTGAAATTTAGAGCGCAGCTACGTGTAGTTGGCTCATAAAAGCTGAAATTCCTTCGACTAGTGAATGAGAGTTCAACTGCCCTTAGATGCCTTTCTTTTACAGCCCAGAACGTTGTGCAATGGCAGAGCGGAAAAGTAAATCAAGTTTAATTTGAAATAAAGCTGTCACTGAGTTGTCATTGCATTAATCAATGTCTAAATTGAAAGGCTGCTCTGTGCGGGCTTATTTAAAGAATTTCAATTTGTTTTTGCCTTGCCTAGAGCGAGAGCCATTGATGAGTTTTAGTAAAACTATAGGAAATGATGAAAAATACGTTATATATTATACATGGAGAATAAATACAATCGACAAGGGATTATCCTTCCCAATAAAAACACTCTGCAAACACAATGGTGAGCTAAGGAAAATATTTCAGTTTAAAAAATAAAAAAAAATAAAATAAATAATAACAATAATAATAAAGTACCCCCTAGCTATGGAATCTATGAAATTAAGAAATAAAATTAATAAATTAAGTTTTTTAATGCCCAAA